AGCTCTCATGAAATATGTGGCTCCTCTGCTGCGACGTTTTCTGTGAAACAGCAGACACATTCCCTTTTCAGCCATTGCATTGTGTGCGTGCGTATGTGTGTGTGTGTGCATGTGTGTGTGTGTGTATGAGAGAGTGAGCAGGCCTACGTGGAGTCTGCAGTTAAGTGAATGTTATGTCTGTATGAGCAGAGGTGGATTATAAAAGGAGGCACTAAAAGAAGATGAAAAGAGAGAACGATAGAAATTAAAGGATAGTGGAGAGTCTGTGTGTGTATATGTGTGTGTGTGTGTGTGTGTGTGTGTGTGTATCTATGTGTGTGTTTGTGTGTGTGTGTGTGTGTGTGTGGTCAGTAAATACAGAGGAGAGAAGAATAACACACACACACACACACACACACACACACACGACACACGACAACATTTGGAAATGCCACCAGAGGAATAAACAACGCAGCTCAGAGGCAACGTTAAGGTGCGTTCATGGACACTAGGGACTGTTCGTTATTTATGAGGAGAGGGGAGGGGGGTGCAAAAAAACATTTTTTAAGCGTCTGGAGGGGAATTATGTTTTTTATTTTGACTTAGGGAAGGAGCTACAAATTTAAATAGCTGTATTTTGTAATTATTTTACCGGCTTTTTTTTTTAAATAACCAAAATGACCAAATTATCACAGCCAGAAACTGAAAACAAAAATTATCGTTGGATTTTCAAATTTCCGACGGTCCTTGGACACATCATGAGCGACAAACGCTTCCAGAAAAAAAAAAAAAAAAAAAAAGATGACAAGAGTGAAAAACTGAGACTTTTCCAACTCCAGGGTTTCATCTTCAACTTTTATTAACTTTCAAACATCAAAGGGTGAGTCTTAAAAACGCTCAAGGAGAAATATTTGGAGCTTCAGGGAGGGTCACACTGCAGACACCGCCCTCCTCTGATGAACAACGGTCCCTTACATCTCACTTACACACACACACCTACACACACGACAGTGTCTTATCTCTCACACACATAAACACAGACCAGAGGACTTCAAGATTTATTACACAGAGCATTTTAGATGCAGAGTAGTTCTGTTTTTAGGGGTGTTTTTTTTTAAAGTATAAAATGATGTGTGTGTTGAGCATCCTGGGAGATAAACCCTCTACATGAACCATCATGGTACAGAATACACACCATGTTATATTCTGATTAATAAAACCTGTTTTACCTCAATGGACTGGTGTTTTTTTCCTTTCAAAAACAAACTACGGTGGCCCACAGCGGCCACATTCACACAATCATCAATGACAGCTCAACAAAAACAAGCAAACAATCTAAAATATATTCATGAAGCTTTTCAAACTGCGTCACCGTTACTTTTAATTTTTATTTACATGCTGTAAACTTTGAAGGACATTTCTGTCCTCAGCACCTGCTAATGTCTGACCCTGAAACAGATACACACATTAATCCGACCCCCCCAACACACACACACACACACACACACAGAGAAAGCACAACCCTAAGTGACAACTTTGCCTGGCGCTGTGGCGGCTGAGGGGAAATTGTGCCATCTGCCAGTAAACGACAGTCATTTTATCCCCACTGCTCGTCCATCTGTGGACGTGGAGAACTCTGCTGGAGGCCAGGGGGCCACGAGGGCCGCGGGGGAGACGAGGCGCAGGCCGGAGATGCTTACCAGGCACAGAGGCCTCTGTATGTGGGCTCCATGGGCTTATCTACCTCCTGACTCTATAGACAGGAGCTACTGGAGGACACCAGAATATACTGTGAATGTTTAAAGCTGAAGAAGACACGTAACCATCAGGGATGAGCCTCGCTGTGTCTGAGCACGAGATTCAACATGATTTAAAGATCTTTGTGATTGATCAAGTTTCTCAAATATCAGTCCACAGATGATCAGAGGCAGCAGAGCATCACATCAACACAAGAGAATTGAATAAATGATGGCTGATGGCACAAAAAAAAAACAACTTTAAAGTTTCAGCTGGACAGCAACTAACCTTAGAAATTTATTCATTTTCTCAGCTTGAAGTGTAACCTGTCAGGTGACCTGAGAACTTCACAAGCACTGATCCAATACTGATTTCAGATATCAGGTTTATTCTGACACAAACCGCTGATTTTGTCCAATATATTTAATTCAATTCTATGTTTACGACAAGTGCGAGCAGCGTGTCGGTACGCTACACAGCTGAGAGAGCTCAGAACAAACATGTCAGCTGTTTGGAGGTATTTCAGATTTATGTCTTCATATTTATTTGTAACATTTTGTATTATAAAGTTAGGACAGACATGTTTAAGTTGAGGATGATGTTGCCTTACAGATAACACGGAGTCACAATCAGAGCTGGCTCAAAGCATCTCTCATGAGAAAGTCCTAAAAACTGAAGGTGTGAAAGTTTTCATTGTCGTTAGTTTTCATCTTTGTAGCTTCAGATTTTCCAGATTGTTTGTATGTGTGGTGATGAAGGACGCTCCATCACACACACACACACACACACACACACACACACACAGAGGAGGCCCATAAATGAATCTCACACCCACTCCAGATGAGACTTTCAGCATCACACTGAGCCAAAAAACCTTCTACCTCACCCGGAAACGTGTCTGATAGAAACATGGCTGCACATGTTGCTTGTTACCACCTGACCGTCATCCACTTCACATCCAATTAATCATCACAGCCAAACATGACAAACATCAGCAACTTGAAACAATATTCTCTCCACAGATATTTGGCTGTGTCTTCACACCGCGCAGGTACACGGAGATCACAGCCTGAACACCCGCCACCCTGAGGGGTTAAAAAAAGAAAGAAAGACACACTCTGCTTGTTGGATGAAGCCGAGCCTGATGGGCTGTGATGGCTCCCAGCAGGGAGGCAATCAGGCGCACACAATCACAACACCTCCATTGTTTTACATGAGGGGGGGGGGGGGTTCACACACAGGTAGAGGATCAGCTGTCGGATCAGCCTGACGCAGAACTGCTCTCAAACCTTTTGGGACGAGTCCGTGTCAAACTCAAGTCGAAATGTGAGTCTCTGAAAGACGACATGACATCTGAACATTCCTTCCAAAGCTCTGATCGTTTTTTGCATAGCTGAGACCAAATCCTCTCACTGCAGAGGCACAGAGCTCACACATGAATTTGTTCCAGGTCAAACCATGAGATAAGTCTCAAGTCTCAAGGTAGACGAGTGTAGCAGCAGTGAAGTCAAGTCCAAGTCTTCATTCGACTGTCGAGTCTACATCTCTGGTCTGACTTCAGTAACTCGAAAGATAACACCATGTGTGTCAAAAGTGTGTCAGACACTCACACACACATGCACATGTTAAAAAAAATTGTATGTTTGCACACACACACACACACACACACACACACACACAGAGTATGTGGGCTTGCATAAGACAGCTGGGTCGTATCCAGAAAGCGCCCGGCTCCTTGTCTTTCTTAATGCAGTGTAGCGTGTAAAGTGTGTCAAAGACTCATTTTAAATAACTCTCACACAAAGAGAGAGAGAGAGAGAGAGAGGGAGAGAGAGAGAGGGAGGGGAGGAGAAAAAACAACACTTGGCTAACGCCTCAGAAAAAGATTACTCTGCTGTGTTAGTTTTTTTGCGCAATATGGAGAGATTAAAGCAAACACAGTCGCCGTTTACTTTGGACTGATCTTTGGGTATTTCTCTGCCTCGAGAACAAAGAGGGAAAATCGCGCTAAGCTCAGCGAACCAAGAAGAGTCCAATTAAATCCTCCTCGTAAAAAAAAAAAAAAAAAAAGGACTCCACCACATTCGTATAAACAATAAATGTGCCTTTTGAAATGCTCCTATTTGAAGTGATGAACACACACAACGTGCTTCTAAGCAGATGTCACATACGCATGGAAAATGAAGCATGGAACAATTGAGGATGGAAGCGAGTGTGTACGAGCAGCTAAACGTTCTTGTTTTTGGACGAGGCTTCTTTTCATCCTGCTTTATGACGGAGCGCAAAGCAAACTTGAGAGGGGAATGTTTCCGAGCTGTGTTTTTGTTGTTGTGCTGCAAGAAAAGTTTTCTTTCCTCAGAGACGCTCGTTCGGTCTGTATAACAATCCTAAACCAGAAAATCTTCAGCTCAGGGTGATATAAAACAGAGCAGAGCAGCAGATCCTCACACTTCAGCAACACTTCAGCAACACACGTTCAGTTCACACATTTCAAATTAAAACCAAAGTCCTAAAAAATGAACTTCTATGTGTTCATTTCTTCTGTTTTTTAAATAAAATAAAATCCCATGATTCACACGCAGATATTTTCCAAATCTGGTCAGATGCTTCGAAGCCTTTTCAAATTCACTGCTGATGTGACTGATGGTCTGAATTTTTATTTCAGACCTCCAGATGCATAATTTGAAAAGATATTTACAATTTTTCTGTTTGAGTCTGAACTGATCTGTTCACAAAACTTTGTCAAATATTCATATGAGCAGGGTTAGGGACACATTTCAACAGGGACGCTGTCTTTGACAAAACACAGTGTGAGCGACGTTCACTAAACGGATACGTTCAGTTCATCGTTGAACAAAAACAGGAGGACGTTCAGTGAATGCACTCTTTTATCTCGCCGATGGATGCACATTACAGCATGTCAAAGGCTGGAACCGGTCAATATCTGGCCTTTGTGTTTGACAAATGATTTAATCAGTTAATCAATTAATGTTTTCAACTCTACAGTGAGAAGATGTGCTCAGTGACAAACAACCACTTCATGAACGTATCCTACTCAGATTCTGTCTGTGACGTCGACAGCTCTCAACAGTCCCTCTGACACAGCTGATTACTGCTCTTTACAAAATCAGTGACACCTTGTTTGAATTTACAAAAACCTGAAAGTCAAGATATTGCGTCATAATGTAGCAGATGTTTTCTGTTGATGTGAACTGGAGTGAGACATTCATCAGCTCTGTGTCAGCAGCATGTCGGAGCACGCTAAGGTTTGATCAGTGTCCTACCTGTGGGCTGAGCGGTGGGCAGCCTGGCCGGAGCGACGCAGAGAGGCAGGAGGAAGAAAAGCCAGAGTGAGCACCACAGAGCCGTCATTCCTCTGGACGACGAGGTGAGACGCAGAGCAGGGAGGCCCGACTCAGACTCAGACAACATCCTCCGTTCGCATGCTGTCCAGCAGAACGGCGGCCTCCACGCCGCAAGAAACTATCCAACAACTCCCCGCCGCTGACCTGAGAGACAACAGACAGGAAGAGGAATCAATCACAGCTGTCAAGTCTGGATGTTCGTCATGAGACTCTGGTCCACTGAGGTGGAACATTCAATCAGCTCTGAAATTTAGAAATATAAAAATGAGGTTGTGAATTGAACACAGTACAAAGAAGCGCCCTCAGCTCTGCACACATGCTTCCATATTCTGACCTGACATTCCTCACAGATTTCCAGGATTAGAGTGGAAATCCCTCTTCGCAGTTTTTCTCACAAACTTTCTCAGAGCACCTGATGGCAGCTAAGAGACCTGTTCTCCGTGCCCCCAGCCTACAGTACAAGTTCATTAACCAATGAATTAACTTTGCTGCATCAGGATTAGTTGAGGACGAAGAACAATCACATAATTTCAGACCTTTCAGCCTGTCACTCCTCTCACAGGACTCTTTTCTGCTTGAGAAACTCCTCTGCATGGTTTAGCAAGCGATTGACACGGATTCACTAATCTTCCTGCAGGATGAGGAATGCTGGAGTCTACGGTATCAGTTGCCCAACGTGCCCGGCGGCTCGCAGGAGGAGGAGGAGGAGGAGGAGGATGAGGAGGAGGAGGGAGCGTGACGGCTACGGCGAGCGACGGCGGAGTGCTCTGCTCTCTGTTTGCTTAAGCAGGGAGAAGCTGGAATGCACCGAGGCTGGAGGAGAAAGCTCTGAGAAGTGCCCAGAAAAGCAAAGCACAAAACGCCCCACATGTGTGTGCACAGACACACAGACACACACACACACACACACACACACACACACACACACACACACACACATATTTACCTTTAACACTTTTGGGGACATTACACTGACTTACATTTATTTCCTGGAGACTTTCCCCTAACCTTAACTTAACCAAAATCAGCTTTCCAGTCTGACACTCAGCTTTTGTCCTGATTGCACAAACTGTCCTCAGTTAGCTGGTCTTTAGTCAGCGTCCCCAGAAGGAGCCTAAGTTAGGAACACACAACAACTGTTAGCTTAAACTTTGGGGGCTCTGTCCAGCTTCAAAAAAGCCTTGGCTGTGAGACGCCCACCCGACAAAAACAGACGCACAGGTTTGGCGAACACACACGCAAACATTAGAGAGTGGGCTTTGCTGCGGCACACAGAGGTGTATTGTACACACACACAGTCCAGAGAAAGGTTGTGTTGTCTTAAGTCTTAGCAGTGCTGTTTTTCTTTCTCTCCGAGGACCTGTGACCCACTCCTAGCTCAGCACAAACCCAAGCCCTGCGAGGCTCTGTTTGCACATTATCACTCCTCGACACAGAAAACAGCGACTGGGGGAAACTTGACGAGACACACATGAGCAGATAAAGCAGCACAGACACACAGAGTCTAATCCAAACAGTGCACCTCTCATGCTTCAACATACAGCGCTGCGGCCTTTCATGTTCTCTACAGGCACTTGGGTGAGCTCTTCTCGGCCCCTCTCAGCCCATCCTCACCTTCTTACAACACGAGACGCCTACACGCTGCTGCGGTTTGTTTATACAGCTCGATAAGGCCTTCGCTCTACGGGCGTGGAGGTAGCTGATTGCAGGCCTCTCCGATTTGAAACTTTTGTTTTCTCTGGCACACACACGTAAAAAAAACCTCCAGCGTTTTACAACCACTTGAGTCTGAGAGCTGACAAAGTCTTCAGGGTTGGTTCATGTCAGCGAGCAGATCTGTTTAGACAAGTAGCATGACGGCCTCTCCAGCCATGTGAGGAGACACTGGCAAACAATACCAGCTTTAACTCTGACTAATATGGTGACAGGTAAAAGTTGAGACTACCTTCTCGTGGTGTACAAAGTGAATCCCGGAGTTTGCCAAGCGGCCAAGAGCTGCAACATGATTGATAGCATGAAAGTGGAACAAATTAAATCCTGTGTAAGCACAGGAGGTAATAAAAGTCCTTCCTTGACAAAACAGAAACATTAGATCCTCTAGTTTCTGAAATATTGAGTGATGAAACTCAGCTAAGAACTTTTTACACCAAAGTGGACACTGAGCGTTGGAAATGAACTCTTCACAGACTCCACAGCGACTGCAAACACTTTGATTTCTATTAACAACCTCCAGAAGCAGAGAAGAAGAAGAGGAGGAGGAGGAGGAGGAGGCGGCAGTATTGGATCCCAAAGACCCAGTGAGGAGTTCAAAGCCTCCAAAGTGTTTTCATGCTAATATTTTCTTAAAGCATGAAAGGGAAACACAACCGGCGCGGTGAATAATACATGAACATTAATCATGCAGAACTATCCTCACATTGTAACAGCTCCGAGGCAGAAAAAGGCTTTCACCAGGGTTCAAACCCTCGTCATCCCCTCTCCCCTCTGAGAGGATCAATGCCAGGCCGTCACATGCGAGTCACACCTCTCCGCTGTGTCAGTAATCTTTAATAATTAAGCCGGAGAATCAACAGCCGGGGCCGGATCGACTTTGTCATTTTGGGAAAAGGGGATTAAAGGTTTTTTGGGAGAGCACAAGTGCAAACAGCAGCCGGGCGCAGGGTGGAGGGTGGATGGGTGGTGGAGGGAAAGATAGACAGACACACAAGTGGGTAATGTTCCATATCAGTGCCTCTTCTTCTTCTGCTCCTCATTCACTCCCGTCACCTCGTCCCCTCACTGCTCCTCCGTGTCTCATCACACCGCCGCCCTCTTTTCACAAACACACTCCAGCGCAGCCTGAGGTGAGAGGAGAGCAGATATCGATCAGCTCTGCATCTTTAAGCTGTCAGAGCTTCACTGTGACTCCAGGTGGAAAGAGCTGCTGCAGGCGCTGGAATCAGCCTCCTGTCATGTGTCCTGCACTGCACGACTATACCTGTCCACATGTTTGCCCTCTGCATGACACAGAGGACACGGGACACTATAGTCTCTCTGGGAAAATAACAACCAACAGAGAATATGATGATTTACCCACTGAGACACAGTGTGGACATCACAGCACGGGGAATTAGAAAGTCAGATCATTTCCTGAGGTGGATATCGACTGTTTTAACTGTTATAGATTTATTATAGTGGATTTATGTGGAGAAGGGAATCCCATTAAGGACCGTAACGCCACTGGAAACTTCCCTTTAAATGTTATGGTCACAGTGTGAGCTCCTGCAGAATACAGGGCTGCGAAATATAAAAATGTTTTGAATTAAACCCAGTGAAGTTCATAACTGAGCATCAGAGACATATTGTAAGTGACAGGAGTCTTACACAGATTTAAGAAGTGGTAAAGCTGCTAATAAAGGCCAGATCAGGTCACATTTGGTTTTTATTATTGGAACATTACAGTGAATTAATGTGTGAGCTGAAAAAGATCAGCTTTTCTTCTCACATGAAACAAGTTGGGGCCAATTAATGCTCCGCGAGCAGCTCCACGCACCGGGATGGTCTCAGGCCAATTTGGGAAATGAAAAGAGGCAATCAGAGTCTCATTTGGAGCCCAAAATGTGTGCGTGAGGCCTCTGATTGAAAAACGCTGCGTTATTTCTCGGGTCAATAGATACAATTAATTTGCAGCATTAGCCAAACTATTATCATCCGCACGCTTGTTTTAAGGCTGACACGTTTAATAGGCTGACGCGCTACATGTCCCAAATCTCATTTTCAGGCCCCCTCTCCTCTGCTGCTATAATCCCGTCATTCTCTCCGGTGATGCTTCGACATGGTGGGAGTCAGAGCTGAGCTGAGTGGCCACAAATCACCATCTGAATCCGATTGAAGCGCGTGTGTTTGAAGAGGAGGATGAGTGATGTGCTGCTGAGGGAGAGAACCGCACAGCGCGTTCACTCAAAGCTTTCTGGAGAAACTTCAGAGCCGATGAGAGGCATTAGGGCGCGCGGCTGATGTGTAATTCATATTTCTGCTGCCAACCAGTGAAGACGTCACTGATGCAGCGAGGAGAAAAGGCGTGTTCATCCTAACGAGCTCAGGACGCCGATCAGAGCCAATATCTGTGTGTGTGACAGACACATTCTGCGGGAGGCGTTTCACTGATGAGACATGGAGACACAACTTTAATTAGACGCGTCTACTGGCCATCCCCAGCCCGTCCTCATGGACACACCAGCGTACGTAATTTCATCCATCTGATTTCACACTTTTCAGTGCTGGAATTTTCTGGAAATCAAAGTGCCAATATTTTAAAATTAAGGAGAGGTGTTCACACTTTTGATTTAGAGAAAAAAAAACAGCAAGTTGATTTACAGTAAAAATAAAGGAACAACTCGGAGGCGATTTTTAGCCTCGCGGCGTGCGTAATTTCACCAACCTGCGCCACACACGGTGCAAGCCAGCATTAATGAGCTAAGAAACACAAACCTGTGCGCTCTCTCCAAACCGAGCTGACACAAATACGCACAGGGAGGACGCGCCGAATGCGCACAGCCCGGGGACGGTCGAGCCGTTCCCTCTGCGGCACCTGTGAGATGGCACGGCCGAGGGTTTGGTCCTGCTGCTCCACGATACACACACACACACACACACACACACACACTGAACACTGAACACTGAACACACTCCTCAACACAACACGGCCACTCAACGCTGAGAGACAACCTGTCTGACGCACATCTACAAGGAAGTGGAGCTATTTCTCTCCTGTCTCAGTCCGAAGCTGCAGAGAGCTCATGATAATAATAATAATAATAATAATAATAATAATAATAAAACCAGGCCACTCACCCAGAGTATTCCGTCCCCACAGTAAGCCTCAGTATGTCAGATTCCACCGAGCACAAAGAAGAAAAAAAAATCAGCCGTAATTTTCCTGTAAACTTTATAAAAACCCAGAGAACTTGTTAAAATCCGTCCTCGCGCGTCACGGAGCAGCTCGGCGACACAGAGTCTCGGATCCTCCTCACGGCTGTCAGCAGAGTCTCAGCTCGGGCACCGCCGCTGCCGAGAGCCAACTTCTCCACTAAATCCTGTTTTCCAGCGCGCGCTGCTGTCCAAAGTGTCCAAAGCTCCTGAACGCGTTCATCCTGTCGTGCACGGGGACGCAGCGGAGCGGGACGCGGGCCGGACGCAGTGAACGCGGCTCCTCGCTCGGCTCCAGCGCGGATGCCAGTCGGTGTGTTTGGTTGCCTCGGATCAGCCAACTCGGACTGGTGTCTCTCCTCCGCTGGCTGCCTGTGAAGTACGAGCTGCGCTGCTGCCGTCAAGAGACAGCGGCTGGGAGGAGGGGGGACTTCCTGTCTACACCTTCACAATAAAGGCTCGGCTGATGTGCCAGTGACGCAATGCTTCTCTGGGTTGTGTCCGAAACGGAATCTGCCTTCAACAAAATATATTTCCCCCCAACATTTAATTTAACTGTGCAATTTAAAGGGTGTTAGGTAACGTGTAGAGGTCACGTTTCATCATTGAAAGCGGTTCAGTTGTTTTTAAAGACACAATAATTAAGATAAATGAGTGATAAGTGACACCAAAACACCAAATCTGAAAACCATGTGTTAAATTTTATATATTACTGAGTATAACTGCCTTCATCCCTCCACCAGTCCCTCCCTCATTTATTGTTTCTGTTACTTGAATCAAGATATTTTATGAAATAAAGATATTTTAAAATCATTTTCTCAGCACCGAGTTGTTTCAAACTGCTGCATAAATAGTTAAAACTGTAAACCAGATATTAATCTCACTGATAACTTTAATATTAAATAAACCAGGTCTATACACAGCCTCCTTATGGCACAACCTCTCCAGGTGGATGTAATGAAGTCATCACAGGACGCACACTGTGCCACGCAGCTGCACAGACCAGGCTTTTATTCTGAAGGCTGCAGTGTGTCGGTGTGTGTGTGTCGGTGACTTGACTCTCCTCTCCTCTCCGGTGTCTCTCCGCGGTCGGTCCGGGATGCCTCCTGGCTGCCTGTGCCTCCACCGGGCTGCGCGCCGCCGGGACAGGCAGCAGCAGCAGCAGCAGCAGCAGCAGCAGCAGCAGCGGGGGGAGGAGATCACATTACGGCGCGTCGCTGCTCCGGGGCCGCTGGAGGCAGCAGTGACGCTCCGCTCCAAGCGCCTCCCTGCTCCTCTCTGGGTCCAGAACAAACCTGAAGCCAGAGCTGCTGTTTGAGAGCTGAGTGCACTCCAGGCACTGGGGGCCAATGTGCGGTTTGGGGCCCACAAAGGGACCTGGAGGGGTTTCAGGTGGTCTGGGAATAATACTCAGCTGGAGGTGGATGTGTACAGGTAGTTACTGTGAGCAGATCTTTTAGGTTTCTCCATCAGGGGATAAAATCCTGAACAATCAGGGGCCCCGAGCTGCACAGGGGCCCCGCAACGTGTCATAGATGTATCTGAACTGTAGCGCTGCAGACAAACAACTCAAATGACTGACAGGTACTTTTATTAAAACGTTATGTTGTACCACAGAGTGAGACAGAAGTGTGTTGAGTTTCAGACCGTGATGTGTTCAGGGTCCAACTATGTGGAAATCTCCTTCTGTGAAACAACACTGGGACGTTGAGTGACTGTTGTTTGATGGTTCAATCAAGACAGCCAAAACGTTTCAAAATGAAAGTTGCGGCAACATCTGTGACATCACCTGGCAGTCAGCTGGCAGTCACCTGGCAGTCACCTGGCCGTCACCTGGCTGTCACCTGGCCGTCACCTGGCCGTCACCTGGCAGTCACCTGGCCGTCACCTGGCTGTCACCTGGCCGTCACCTGGCTGTCACCTGGCCGTCACCTGGCCGTCACCTGGCCGTCACCTGGCAGTCACCTGGCAGTCAGCTGGCAGTCAGCTGGCAGTCACCTGGCAGTCAGCTGGCCGTCACCTGGCAGTCACCTGGCAGTCACCTGGCAGTCAGCTGGCAGTCACCTGGCCGTCACCTGGCAGTCACCTGGCAGTCACCTGGCCGTCACCTGGCAGTCACCTGGCCGTCACCTGGCTGTCACCTGGCCGTCACCTGGCTGTCACCTGGCCGTCACCTGGCCGTCACCTGGCCGTCACCTGGCAGTCACCTGGCAGTCAGCTGGCAGTCAGCTGGCAGTCACCTGGCAGTCAGCTGGCCGTCACCTGGCAGTCACCTGGCAGTCACCTGGCAGTCAGCTGGCAGTCACCTGGCAGTCACCTGGCAGTCACCTGGCAGTCACCTGGCAGTCACCTGGCAGTCACCTGGCAGTCACCTGGCAGTCACCTGGCAGTCACCTGGCAGTCACCTGGCAGTCACCTGGCAGTCACCTGGCAGTCACCTGGCAGTCACCTGGCAGTCACCTGGCAGTCACCTGGCAGTCACCTGGCAGTCAGCTGGCAGTCAGCTGGCAGTCAGCTGGCCGTCACCTGGCAGTCAGCTGGCAGTCAGCTGGCAGTCAGCTGGCAGTCACCTGGCCCTCTTTCTTCTGACAGCATTGAAACACGACCAATTTTTCTTTTGTTTGTTTTGTTGTATAATGCTGATTTGTTTCTGTACTCAGTTGTATGTAGTATAACTTATGGCTGCAGTTTGGGTGAAGAGACCAGGACAAATGTCCACTGTGTGGGACAATAAAGTTCATCTTGAATCTTGAATAATAAACAAACATTAAACGCCCAGGACTCAAACCTCCGTCTCCTCTGTTAAAACCATCTATCCATCAATCAGAGCTTCTACCTGTGAGGACTTTGTTGCTCTGTACACTACGTCACGTGATGAAACACCACCATGAGACAGGAATAACTTGCATGCAGTTGTATGTAAATGGCATCAATGTCCTTTTTTTATATTAGAAAATGGGCGTTGAGTAAAACTCGTCTTTGTACGTGAAGCTGACGTCACAGCCACAAACAAACAAATAAACAGTCAATGAAATGTAGTTTGTTATAAAAAAAAACAAAGATGCGTGCATTTGCTTTTTTCACAGCGATTATATGCTCAGTGTTTCCTGGTTTGTCAGAGAGCGTCTGATTGGATGTGAAATCAACGTCACCATCTGGTCTTCTGCCTCATAACCACGCAGGCTGTTCACACAAATTTTTATATGTTTTAATATGAAAAGTAATGCCAACAAATTTGTCATGTGACCAATGTGCTCACAGCAGTAAACAAGGAATCAGTCCTGAGCACTTCTGTGGCGACAGGTTGGTCACAACACGTCTTCAGACCTGTGTGGACTTTGAGTCATTTTAAGGTTCGTCCTCACCATGTTTCTCTTCCTAAACCTGACCTTAGTAACTATAATTGTGTAACTGTAAGTTAAGGACATAACGTCATTTGAGGGGTGCAACAAAGTGTTCTGTGAGAATATGTTAAATCGAGAGGCAGTTTTTAGCATCTGATCAGGATCGTTTTTGGCCGGGGACTCTGTTTGACAAATGTTTGCTGGGGTTTGTTTCTGTACCTGATAAAGTATCAAGGAAAACTGTTTACTCTAAAGACTAAAGTCCCTCTGCACTTGTGAATAAAATAAAAAGCTGATGGATCCAATAGTTGGGAAAGTTAAGACATTAAGAAAAGTGGAGTTTAGAAAACATCAGATTGTGATTAACCTTACTGAAGGTCTTGTAGTGATTTACTGATGTTCAGACGCTTCACATCGTCTCTTCACGTGATCTCAGTGTGACTCCTCCTTTCACCCACCAGACTAATTGTTGCATGTTAAACACAGTTAAGGTGATGATGATGATGTCATCCTTCAGGCAGAACGGCCTCTCGTCATTAGCATACTGTCACCAGCTCAAACCAGTGTTTGACCAGTCGGCCCTAAAGTGTGCTGAGTGAACAGTAAATTACCATTAAGCACCCGTTTCATGAGGCTGTGGGCTAATTACTGCCGTCAGGACAGAGGTGATGGCGGCTCTAAACAACGCCACAATTACTGTCATCTCTTCAGCTGTGTTTTCACAAGAGAACTTTATGACGCCATAAAGCAGAGCGACCCTCTGCTAAGTGACTGAGGAGGCTGGAGGGAGTGTGCCGCCGGCCGTCTGTGTTTGTCCACACGAGGTGGGCTCTTCACTGTCGTCTGTGACGATCCACGGCAACACCTCATAAATCATCATCATCATCATCATCATCATCGTCATCACACTGACAGATTTTTTTCTTTTATAGCATAATAAACTTTGGATTTTGGACTGTTGGTCAGACAAAACAAATCTGTCAGCTCTGGAACATGTGACCAGTATGTTTCACTAGCTTTAATCAACCAAACCACCAAACACGAGCCCTCATGTGTTCACGAGTTGTCAGCAGCTCAGCCGGAGAACGATTGTCATTTGAATAATTTAAAGAGGCCTGAAAATATTCAGTGTTTCACATGTAAAAAAAAAACAACGAGAAAAGAGTTAAAAATAAACATTAGTTTGTGAAGCTGAATTTAATATTAAAAAAAATAAAATTAATCATCACTGAACCTTTTGGGTTGTAAACCAACAGACTAAACATTTTATTAATTAATCATCAGTCAAGTCAAGATGGCGTCTTACAGACTGCTGTCACCACCTACGTCTACTGACCAACCAATAGAAAATAAAGGAGTGAGCCAATCAAACACACAGACAGCAGCTCGCCATGGAGGCAAAACTAAAGCGCTAAAAGAAACGTGAGGAAAACCTTGTGATGTGTCCTCCAGCTCTGACCATGATCGCCTTTGTAAAGAAGGACCAAGCATGGAAGGAAATAGGGGCGGAGCTAGCAACACACACACACACACACACACACACACACACACACACACACACGCACACACCGCAGGGTAAAGTGACCACAACACATTAGATTATTTTCACACATTTTAATAAGATTTTTCAAATATCTTGTCATCGTATTTTTGGACAGTTTTTTGATATTTTTCAGACATTTTAATAATGTATTTAAAATATTTTTTGAACATTTAAGAAACATGTTTTGCGTTAATTTCATAATATTTTGTGGACATTTTATCAACATTTTTGCAGAAAATTTCTTAATGTTTTTTGGATATTTTAATAATGTTTTTCTGACATTTTATCAACATTTTTTTCTGACTTTTTCTTTTTATATTTTCTGACATTTTAATAATGTATTTTGAACATTTTATTGATATTTTTTGGACATTATTTAAACATATTTTGGGTAATTTTCATAGTATTTTGTGAATTTTTTTTATCAACTTTATCTACATTTTCTGACATTTTATTATCTATATTCACAGT